CTTTTTCATTTATTTCTGATCTGATTTTTATGATTTCTTTCCTTATGCTAACTTTGGGGTTTTTTTGTTCTTCTTTCTCTAATTGCTTTAGTGCAAGGTTAGGTTGTTTATTCGAGATGTTTCCTGTTTCTTAAGGTAGGATTGTATTGCTATAAACTTCCCTCTTAGAACTGCTTTTGCTGCATCCCATAGATTTTGGGTCATCGTGTCTCCATTGTCATTTGTTTCTAGGTATTTTTTGATTTCCTCTTTGATTCCTTCAGTGATCACTTTGTTATTAAGTAGTGTATTGTTTAGCCTCCATGTGTTTGTATTTTTGACAGATCGTTTCCTGTAATTGATATCTAGTCTCATAGCGTTGTGGTCGGAAAAGATATTGATACAATTTCAATTTTCTTAAATTTACCAAGACTTGATTTGTGACCCAGGATATGATCTATCCTGGAGAATGTTCCATGAGCACTTGAGAAAAATGTGTATTCTGTTGTTTTGGATGGAATGTCCTATAAATATCAATTAAGTCCATCTTGCTTAATGTATCATTTAAAGCTTGTGTTTCCTTATTTATTTTCATCTTGGATGATCTGTCCATTGGTGACAGTGGGGTTTTAAAGTCCCCTACTATGATTGTGTTACTGTCGATTTCCCCTTTTATGTTTGTTTGTATTTGCCTTATGTATTGAGGTGCTCCTATGTTGGGTGCATCAATATTTACAATTGTTATATCTTCTTCTTGGATCGATCCCTTGATCAGTATGTAGTGTCCTCCTTTGTCTCTTCTAATAGTCTTTATTTTAAAGTCTCTTTTGTCTGATATGAGAATTGCTACTCCAGCTTTCTTTTGGTTTCCATTTGCATGGAATGTCTTTTTCCATCCCCTTACCTTCAGTCTGTATGTGTCTCTAGGTCTGAAGTGGGTCTCTTGTAGACAGCATATGTATGGGTCTTGTTTTTGTATCCATTCAGCCAGTCTGTGTCTTTTGTGGGAGCATTTAGTCCATTTACATTCAAGGTAATTATCGATATGTATGTTCCTATTCCCATTTTCTTAATTGTTTTGGGTTCGTTATTGTAGGTCTTTTCCTTCTCTTGTGTTTCTTGACTAGAGAAGTTCCTTTAGCAGTTGTTGTAAAGCTGGTTTGGTGGTGCTGAACTCTCTCAGCTTTTGCTTGTCTGTAAAGGTTTTAATGTCTCCATCAAATCTGAATGAGATCCTTGCTGGATAGAGTAATCTTTGTTGCAGGTTTTTCTCCTTCATCACTTTAAATATGTCCTGCCAGTCCCTTCTGGCTTGCAGAGTTTCTGCTGACAGATCAGCTGTTAACCTTATGGGGATTCCCTTGTGTGTTATTTGTTGTTTTTCTCTTGCTGCTTTTAATGTGTTTTCTTTGTATTTAATTTTTGACAGTTTGATTAATATGTGTCTTGGCATATTTCTCCTTGGATTTATCCTGTATGGGACTCTCTGTGCGTCCAGGACTTGATTAACTGTTTCCTTTCCCATATTAGAGAAGTTTTCAACTATAATCTCTTCAAGTATTTTCTCAGTCCCTTTCTTTTTCTCTTCTTCTTCTGGAACCCCTATAATTCTAATGTTCGTGTGTTTAATGTTGTCCCAGAGGTCTCTGAGACTGTCCTCAGTTCTTTTCATTCTTTTTTCTTTATTCTGCTCTGCAGTAGTTATTTCCACTATTTTATCTTCCAGGTCACTTATCCGTTCTTCTGCCTCTATTGATCCCATCTAAAGTATTTTTAATTTCATTTATTGTGTTGTTTATCGTTGCTTGTTTCATCCTTCATTCTTCTAGGTCCTTGTTAAATGTTTCTTGCATTTTCTCTATTGTATTTCCTAGATTTTGGATCATCTTTACTATCATTATTCTGAATTCTTTTTCAGGCAGACTGCCTATTTCCTCTTTATTTGTTAGTTCTGGTGGGTTTTTATCTTGCTCCTTCATCTGCTGTTTGTTTTTCTGTTTTCTCATTTTGCTTATCTTACTGTGTTTGGGGTCTCCTTGTTGCAGGCTGCAGGTTCGTAGTTCCCGTTGTTTTTGGTGTCTGTCCCCAGTGGCTAAAGTTGGTTCAGTGGGTTGTGTAGGTTTCCTGGTGGAGGGGACTAGTGCCTGTGTTCTGGTGGATGAGGCTGGAGTTTGTCTTTCTGGTGGGCAGGTCCACGTCTGGTGGTGTGTTTTGGGGTGTCTGTGGCCTTATTATGATTTTAGGCAGCCTCTCTGCTAATGGGTGGGGTTGTGTTCCTGTCTTGCTGGTTGTTTGGCATAGGGTATCCCACACTGTAGATTGCTGGTCGTTGAGTGAAGCTGGGTGCTGGTGTTGAGATGGAGATCTCTGGGAGATTTTCGCCGTTTGATTTGTGGAGCTGGGAGGTCTCTGGTGGACCCGTGTCCTGAACTTGGCTCTCCCACCTCAGAGGCACAGCACTGACTCCTGGCTGCAGCATCAAGAGCCTTTCATCCACATGGCTCAGAATAAAAGGGATAAAAAGTAGAAAGAAAGGAAGGAAGGAAAGGAGGGAGGAAGGGAGGAAGGAGGGAAGGAAAGAAAGAAAGAAAGAAAAGATAAAATAAAATAAGATAAAATAAAGTTATTAAAATAAAAAATAATTATTAAGAAAAAAAAATTTTCTAAAGAAAGAAACGGACGGATAGAACCCTAGGACAAATGGTGGAAGCAAAGCTATACAGACAAAATGTCACACCGAAGCATACACATACACAGTCACAAAAAGAGGAAAAGGGGAAAAAATAATAAATCTTGCTCTCAAAGTCCACCTCCTTAATTTGGGATGATTCGTTGTCTATTCATGTATTCCACAGATGCAGGGTACATCAAGTTGATTGTGGAGCTTTAATCCGCTGCTTCTGAGGCTTCTGGGAGAGATTTCCCTTTCTCTTCTTTGTTCTCACAGCTCCCAGGGCTCAGTTTTGGATTTGGCCCCGCCTCTGCGTGTAGGTCGCCTGAGGGCGTCTGTTCTTCGCTCAGATAGGACGGGGTTAAAGAAGCAGCTGCTTCGGGGACTCTGGCTCACTCAGGCTGGGGGGAGGGAGAGGTACAGAGTGCGGGGTGAGCCTGCGGTAGCAGAGGCCAGCATGATGTTGCACCAGCCTGAGGCGCGCCGTGCATTCTCCTGGGGAAGTTGTCCCTGGATCCCAGGACCCTGGCAGTGGTGGGCTGCACAGGCTCCCTGGAAGACGGGTGTGGATTGTGACCTGTGCTCGCACACAGGCTTCTTGGTGGCGGCAGCAGTAGCCTTAGCGTCTCATGCCCGTCTCTGGGGTCCGCACTTTTAGCCGCGGCTCGTGCCCATCGCTGGAGCTCCTTTAAGCAGCGCTCTTAATCCCCTCTCCTCGCGCACCAGGAAACAAAGAGGGAAGAAAAAGTCTCTTGCCTCTTCGGCAGGTCCAGACTTTTCCCTGGACTCCGCCTGGCTAGCCGTGGCGCACTAACCCCCTGCAGGCAGTGTTCACACCACCAACCGCAGTCCTCTGCCTGCGCTCCGATCGAAGCCCGAACCTCAGCTCCCAGGCCCGCCCGCCCCGGCGCGTGAGCAGACAAGCCTCTCGGGCTGGTGAGTGCTGGTCGGCCCTCTGTGCCGGAATCTCTCCGCTTTGCCCTCCGCACCCCTGTCGCTGTGCTCTCCTCTGAGGCTCCGAAGCTTCCCCCCTCCACCACCTGCAGTCTCCGCCCGCAAAGGGGCTTCCTAGTGTGTGGAAACCTTTCCTCCTTCACGGCTCCCTCCCACTGGTGCAGGTCCTGTCCCTATCCTTTTGTCTCTGTTTATTCTTTTCTCTTTTGCTCTACCCAGGTACGTGGGGACTTTCTTGCCTTTTGGGAGGTCTGAGGTCTTCTGCCAGCATTCAGTAGGTGTTCTGTAGGAGTTGTTCCACGTGTAGATGTATTTCTGGTGTATCTGTGGGGAGGACGGTGATCTCCGCGTCTTATTCTTCCGCCATCTTCCCCTCCCACCCAAAAATACGATTTTTAATGCCTAAAGTATTCCATTATATAGCTGTAACACACATTATTTATCCACTCCCCTATTCAGCATTTTGTTGCTCCCAATTTTTTTCTATTATAAAAAAGGCTGTGGTAAACAGTGACTCTGTCCACATCTCTTATTTTATTGCAATAAATTTTAGAATCTGAATTACCTTAATGAGGTTTTCACAAGTATCAGTGATAGTGTGTCATTATCACACGTAATACAATGCTAGGCACACAGCAGACATTCAATAATTGGTAGCAGTTGGACTTTCCTGGTGGCGCAGTGGTTAAGAATCTGCCTGCCAGTGCAGGGGACACAGGTTCAATCCCTAGTCCAGGAAGGTCCCACATGCCACGGAGCAACTGAGCCCGTGCACCACAACTACTGAGCCTGTGCTCTAGATCCCACGAGCCACAACTACTGAAGCCCGTGCACCCAGAGCCCATGCTCTGCAACAAGAGAAGCCACCGCAATGAGAAGCCCATGCACTGCAACAGTAGCTCCTCACTCGCTGCAACCAGAGAAAGCCTGCCGCAGCCACAAAGACCCAACACAGCCAATAAATAAGTAAGTAAGTAAGATTGCTGTCTCTCAAAAACCACTAAAAAATAATTGGTAGCAATAAATAGGAAATCAAGTCCCTAAACGGACAGACCTGTTCTGTCAGAGCTGAGAGTTAGGAGAGACGTGTGTTCCGTTTCATCAGGGGATGATGTAGGCGGACAGTTGGGGTAAGCAGATGAGAAGGGATGCGGTGGTGGGTTTTGCTCCCAGAATTAGACCGGCCTGTCAATACCTGAAATGAAATAATTCTCCATTTTGAGCCCAATATAACCTTCTCAGATGTGGTCCCCCTTAGGCCCCAGAGACCCACTGTGAGCACACTTACTAGCTTAATCACGTGGGGAGGCAGACTCTGAACGACATTGATCACACTCTTGATTCAGATCCTTCAGGTAGCTGGAAACTGTGATCAGAGAGCAAACAACATAAATCATTGTGTTCTCAAAGATTATTTATTAGCTATTCTCACTCACGGTGGAAAAAAATAAAATAAATGAAATTGAATTAAAATAAGATGAAAATCCAACAACACTTCTTTCCCGAGGACCCCAGGTGGATTATACAAAATGGACCAATAGAGGCTTCGTATTTGTAGCTCACTTACAGGAGAACTCATTAAAGCAGAAATCAAGTAATGACAGCCTAATTTCTTGTAAGGTATAGGGTCTGACCTGGTGCGATAAAGTCACACAGATGATTCTTCCAAATAAAGAGACTAGAATGCTTATAAGTCTAAGAGCGACACCCCTTCCAAGCTGCACGGTTACACTAGGGCACTGCTGGGCTCCTCTTTGGAATGAGTCTTCCCAATCCAGACAATTCCATCACCTGTCCTTGCGGGTGGCCAGTCTCTTTGATGGCAGATTTGATTTCAGAGCAGAGTCTGGTCACCTGGAGCTGGATCAGATGAATAAGGGATAATGAGGTTCTGTGATGCAGTTGGGAGGTAAATGCTGTGAAGGTTAAAATAATGAGACCAGTTTTCTTACGTGGGCCACAGGTGCTGTTGAGGGCCCTCCCCAAAGAGGTGGGATCTTTACATCTCCACCAGGCGCCACGAGCATCGTGAGACTAACCACACGGCCTCCTAGGATGTGCGTGTGGAAGGCCAGCATTCCTTTGGATGCTTAAACTCTGGGCTGGTTGTTAAAACCCTGGCTCATGCATTTAGAGCTCACTGGGAGCTACAGCAGTACTGTTTGCTCTGTCTCGCCTGTCGATGTAAAATAAGTTTATATTTGGTCTAAGAAAGCCCAGTTCTTAAAAGGATTTCCATTCTTTGGGGGCTGAAGGCAAGAGGCACCGTTTTGTTTTTCTTCCTTCTTTTCAAATGCTCGCTTCCTAGCCCACCGGAAGAGGTCTATGTGTTTGTCCTTCATGACGCCTGGTCCTTGGAGGCAGAGGGTCCAGAGCACCAGTGGGGGCAAAGGGTCCAGTCGTCATGGGATGGCTTCAGGACAGCGATGTGTGCTGGGAGAGCTGCAGCACCTGATCACAAGGACGTCCTTGCCGTGTCTCTCTAGGAGTTCAGACACTGCCCCAGGCCTGTCCGAGAGGCGCCCCTCTCCTTCCCCAGATCGGGTGAGGAGGTGCCTAGGCCTCTGGGATAGGGGTGTTGCAGTTCCCATGGTAGATCCTGACGTGGCCCTCACACCGGAAGTAGGCATCGAAGACGTCGCTGTAGCCATGGTCCCTCCACCAGGTGCAAAGCTGCCGGTTCCAGGTACAGTCCAGCACGTGGAAGAGCTCAGGGTGCTCCATGCCAATCATGGTGAAGAAGTCCTGGTCCCCGAGGTGACCCCGGAAGTGGTACTTGTCGGCCAGCTGCTGCACCTGTGCTGGCTCCAGCAGGCGGCCGTACAGTGGGGACTGGCGCATGGCCTCCAGGTTGAGCAGCATCACCCCGCTGTTGAAGCCGGGGAGCCCCTCAGGGGGAGGGCCCCCGACCCGGGTCTTGGGGTTCTCATGACGGAACTGCCAGAATGTGTGCCTGGGAAGGGGAAAGAGAACAGATTTAGCCCGACGTGTGTGTGTGTGGGAACAGTCTGCCAGTCCTGTTCCTCTGGGTCCTCACAACCACCCAGGAGGGAGGTTCCATTTTCACTCGTTTTACAGCGACGAGGACTGAGACATTCTGAGGCTCAGAATCTGTATCACACTGCCAGCAAGAGGCAGAGCCGGTCTGAGTCTCCCAAGTCCAAGCCTCACGTTCTTCCCACCACCCTCAGGATGACATCATCATCTCCATCAATCACATCTGTACAGACTTCGTGAGCACCAGGCACTACATCCTATGAGACGGGTGTTCTCAGAGGCAATATGTCACCTCACGCCTGAGGAAACTGCACAGAGAGGTTCAGAGACTTCCCCAAAGCCACACAAGCAGCAAATAGCACAAGCAGGGACTCAGCCCAGGCATCCGGCTCCAGAGTCCACTTCTGAGGCTAGTAACAATCTAGGTGGAACTTTCCACCCCCTTGTTTTTGTCTGTGATCTTGAAAAGGAGAGGAGAGAGAAAAGTTGGGAAACAGTTCTGAATGGTGATCAGGTAAAGACATAGGGAGCTAAACACAGGCTGAATCAAAATCATTTTTTTGCTTCAGAACAAGTCTCATTCATTAAAACCCCATGCCTAGCATTTCTGAAACAGCTCAGGTCCACCGGTGGGTCAAGTGAAAGTGGCTATGGGACAGCCAAGTAGAATTATAGCAATTTTAGAGAGCAGGTCCACTCAATTTCAGTTTCTCTCTAGGCAGATTTAGAAATCTGCTGTAAGTCCCACTGGATGTTAGAGCCAAGGGGCCCCTCCTAGGTCCTTTATCCAAATGTTTCCATCTGGAGACAGGAAGTCAGATCCAGAAACATCCCCATGGGTGACAAGGTTAGAGCATGAGCCACTCTGTTCTCTAGCCTCTTTAACAGCAAGTTCCTGCACAGAATGGGCACAGGAAGGGGCAAAGAGAGACCCAGGCTCCATTCCTGCAGAGATGCCGTCACAGCAGAGGGCCTTCGACTTGGAGGAAGGAGGAAAGACGGAGGACCCTCTGTCGTGGGCAAGGGCAGGAGTGGGCTGGGGCGTGTCCTGCATCAGGCTCCATCCCACCTGTTTTACCAGCTTTGCCTCTTCCCTAGAGTCCGTAGGATGGGGATGCAGCATAGCAAAACCAGCTCTGCCCCTGGCCTGGAAATGCCACCCTCTGGCCTCCCACAGAGCAGCTTCCCGACCAACGACAGGGAGGAGCTGTGCAGTGAAGTGGGCAGTGCAGGGGAAAGAAAACCAGAGGCCTAACCCGGGGTGGGCCACCCTGATGCATTTTCCAGTTCAACACATTTCTCCAGGTCTGGGAATAGAGAAAGCTTCCTTGAGGTCTCGCATATCACAAGGGGGCCGAGAGTTTGCTCCTGGCCAGGGTAAAGCATTCCATTTGGACATTCTTACAAGTGGAATACACAGGTTCATTGTCTGAATTTCACCATAATTGAACTGTGAGTGGAACAGAGCTCTGGTGCCTACTTGGTGATAACAACCTTGGCAAAAATAAGCTTCCAAAGCAAACAGAGATGCTAGATCTTTCTAGCCACTAAAGCCTGCAGTGATGGGATCATAGCAGGGTTAGAATGCCATTTGACAACTGTTAGTTCATTTTACCATATTTCTTCCAAATAGTTAATTTCAGGAACAGGTTGCAAACCAGCTAAAATTCTACCAAATAGACCTGGGCTACCACGGCATGGTAGAGGAGGGACCCTCAAACCAGGCGAGGTTTTTTTTTTGTTTTTCCACTATTCTAGTTGGAAATTTTATTACCCCGCTCTCAGTAACTGATAGAGCAACTAGACAAAGGATGTGGAAGATCTGAATAAAGCTATCAACCAACTTGACCTAGTCGACATCTGTGGAACTCTCTACTCTACTCAACAGCAGCAGAACACACATTCTTTTCTCCTGCAAATGGAACATTCACCAAGATAGACCATACGCTGGAGGACAAAACAAGTCTCAGTACATTGAAAAAAGTTAAAAGTCATATAAAGAATGCTCCCTAACCAAAATGGAACTGCACTTGAAATAAACTAGATAGAGAAAATTTCTAAATATTTGGAAATTAAGCAACACACCTTTAAAACAATCCACTGGCCAAAGAAGAAATCATAAGGAAAATCAAAGTATTGCAAATTGAATGAATAGTCATGTACCCTTTCATTTTCAAAAGCAGGTGACCAGCTGTCCCATGTCCTGAGAAACTGTCCTAGTCTCAGGCAAACCAGGACGGTTGGTCATCCATTGAAATGTCTGGGTTCAGACTACAAGTTATGTGTCACCTTAGGTACAGGGCTTCTCTCTCCCGCTATCTTTTTTAAGGGGAGGGCTGTTCTATTGCCAAAGCACTGGATTCATTCTCCAGAGAAAGGAGAAGATGGCAACGAAGAGGCAGAGTCGGTGCGCGTGGAGCCCCTGGACACCTCATGCCCCACCAAGCCCACCGGTCCTTCTGTACTTCCCCCACGGTCTGTCCTCCCCTCCCAGAGGACGGGCGGGGGAACGTGGCACGGGCTGGTGGTGTGGGCGCGGCGGTCACGTCTGTGAGGTCCCCCAGCACCGCCATCGCCTCTGCCTGCTCAGCACCTGGCACAGTAGTGCCTCAGGAACCATGAAGTGATGATAAGGACTGAGGAAAAGGTCAGTGCAGCTCAGGCTACATGGCCTCCGATGTCACCTGGCACCAGGGGCAGGAAGAGGTCAGGACAGTTGCTGCTGCCGAGAAAAATCCTGCTGCTTCTCTGAGCCCTGGATCCACCGCTGCCAGGTCTATCTTGGGGGAGAGGAACAGGGACCCACGAGAGGGTGCTCAGATGTTTGAGAAAGGTTCAGAAGGGTTTCAACCCTTGAGCAAGCTGGGAGCAGAGGGGCCATTGGCAGCCCCAGGACGCCCTTACCAACCTCAGCAGGGAAGCTCCCCCAGCTCTTCTTGTCTACACAAGAGTGACCTGGCACCGGACTTGCTGGGCTCCGGAGGGCAGGGCCAGAGGCGGAGAGGTAGGTGGAATCCTTCCAGGCGGAGACCATAACCTAGGTGGCTCTTAGGGAACGTGCTGCCTAGGACCACTGCTTAATCAAGACATAAGAGGCATTTTATGACAAAGAGCCAGAAAGAACCAGGTCTGGGACATCAGTACATTATGATTTGTAAGGAGAAGCCAGAGAGGGAAAGGAAATTGGAAATGCAAGCTGCCTGGGGTGTCTGAAGCAGAAACACAGCCTGAAAATGAACCAACGATTCTCTAAGTACAAAATTACTGCCGTTATTTAAAGTGTTCCTACTACCCCAAGACGCACCCAGAAAAACCGAGCAGCTGCTTAGGGGAATGGTGGGTTTCTCAGGCTTCCACGGCAGCTGGTCCTTGTGGAGGAGCTGTGCTAGGCTTGGGGTAGAGAGTGATAGAGGGACGTGGAAGGGATGAGAACTCACGTAGGGGCCTCTGATCCCACGTGGCGCGGCCTAACGGGGCGGGGTCTCCACTTCCACAGCCATGGCAGCACGTGCGGGCTGCAAAGCCCTCTTACGATTCTCTACCTCACTCCTCTCCCAGCAGTGCAGGGACATTGTTGCCTGCATTTTAACAGAGCGAACAGAGGCCCTCGGTTGTGAGGGGCAGGGCAGGGCCCCGACGGATCCAGGGCCTCTGACCTCCAAGGTCCCTTTAATCTTTGACTACTTCAGATTCCACCACAGGCTAATGTTCCAAGGAGCAGCACTTGGATTTCAATATTATTTCTGACTTTGGTTGGCAGACCCCAAGGCCACGGGTGCTGGGGACCAGGCCATCAGGTGAGGCAGCAGCTGCTGGATTGGAGGGTGGTGGTCAGAGAGCACTCCAGACCCTTGCCTTCCTCACGGGGCCTGGGCTCACCATGTATATTCCCAGGGCACTGCCAGTAGCACGTGCTGAGGCTGCAGGAAACGTCTGTATGAATGAAGGAATCCGATTCTGAGAGCTTCCAGAAGTTTCTCAGATTAACCTCCATGGCCACAGCCCAGCCATGTGGTGCTGCCTAATTGTTTCATTTGGGCCTGTGTGGAGTCTTGTTCCCACCCCCATGGTCACCTGGAGACCCACACTAGAGGGGATAAGGTTTCTTCCCCCTTAGAAATAAACTTAACTGTAAAACGAGGCCTAGTGCAGATGGTCCGTTGTAAGTACCGAGTCCTTCCAGAAGTCGACGAGGCTTGCTGGGAGAGCACAAGTGAGGAGCCTTCAAGCATATTCTACTAGTTATGGGTGATGCATTTTCTAATTTTTTTATATCGAATACATCCCAATTAATAATCATAAAAAGGACTTTAAAAGCTAGTGGACTAGTTCTAGTGAGGAAAACCCATCCTTACAGGAAGGGGTGTTTGAAGTATTATAGTTTTGAAAAAGCAGAGCCATCTCCTCCCTCAGGTCTTTTCTCTGATGATCATTGCTAAGGTCACTCCAACAAGGCTCTCAACCAGAGGCCCTGGCTGAGAACCTAAAGCTCACGTTCTCCAGAAAAGGACTCACGCTGCCGTGAATCGTCCCTTCCTCCTCCCCACACACCACCCCAAATCACAGACTCTTTTGCCTCCCTGTTTCTTCATGATTTTTTTCTCCTGGGTTGGCCTTTCTCAGCTCCTAAGGCTCAGTTTTCTACTTTCACTTCCAAGAGGGGAGAAGCAAAGATGGGAACACACACTGGGCCCGGGCAGTCTGCACAACACCCCTCAGGAAGGTTCTGGAAGCCTGTGCCGACTCAGGTTGAGTTCAAGCCGTAGGTTCTCAGGCTGAGAAGGCCCTGTTGTAGGTGTGGGATTCACAAGGACGGCCTCACACGCGGCACATCTCACCATGGCTCACCCCTTGAGTGTGCCTCAGAGTCAAGGGCAAAGTCTCTAAGGAGCAAGGGAGGCCGGCCTCTACCCGGGGAAAGCTCGCCGTCTAATCAGCAAAGACTGGAATCAGGAAACACTACTTCCCTCATACCCGTGCTTGTGTACCAGGCCCAATCAGCTCTTGTTTGACTTGGAAGGGACCCTGTTTTCCAGTCGTCCGAGAGGAAAGGCCAGGAGTGAAGAGCCATGCTCAGAGGCAGCCCAGCGTTCCACCCAGCCCTGGTCCTGCGAGGTGACGGGACAGTTCTAGGGGATGATTTCACAGCAGTGGCACTGTCTCTCCATCCTGCCTTGGGCTGAGGCTGAGGTTCTGCGGGACGGGCGCTGACCCTTCATTCTCTAGGGGAACCACTGTCTTGTGGTATCCAACTGGAGAGGGCGTGGACCGCGTGGGGCCGTGGGCCCCGCGAAGCTTTAAACTGCCTGTTGCCCTAGGGCATTTCTTACCACCGAGAGTCACAGCTGACCCTTGTTAGGATCTCCTGCTGGCAAGGCCTGAAGCAGGGAGGTCTCTGACTCCGCTGGTCAGAGAGGGTACGAAATGTTCCCAAAGTCACACAGGTTATCAGTGGTAGGACTGACAGGGACCCCTCGTCGGCACTGGTCAGTCAGCAGAGAGATGCCCAAAAGTCCACTCTCCCGTGTCTCCTAGTTCTTCATGAGATGAACAGGAACAACAAAGAGCACACTGAACGGAGAAGATCAATTGCCGATCACTCAGCTATTTAACAGACCCAACCCATATGGAGGTGAGTGGAACATCCCTGCCCTCAGGAAACGGGCAGTGCAGCAAGGAGCTGAGACCTGGGTGTGAACACACCAGCGGGGGTGGTCCTGGGGTGGGGCTGGGGGGCTGCGCCTGGACCCTGGATGCCTGGACCCTGGACGCCTGGGCTAGGGACCAGCGGGGTGAGCCCCTGGGCCTCTCAGGGCCTTGGTTTGCTCAGCGATCACGTAGGGTTGGGGATGAGACACCCCTTAGGGCCGTCCTGGACTCCAGGAGCAAACACATGCCAGACCCTGCCCAGCGCCAGGCCCCTAGGAGTGGTCGTGGCTGTCACCATGGGTGCTCAGCCACCGAAGGCAGACGCCCTTCCTGCCCAGGCTCTTCTCAGGGTGTGGTGGTATCTCAGGGGCCAGCCCTCGTCCACCAGCCAGGCGTCTGCAGGTTTTTGTTTAGACACGGCTTCCTGCTCTAGGGAGTCTGGAATGACTGTCTGTCTCGTTACCAAAGCAGCACCGGCTATGATCTGTCCACCTCTGTGGGACTCTAAAACCTGGCAAAGCACTGGAATCATGGAGCGTGAACACCCCTGCTGGCAAGGCTCTGACCTGCTGCAGGACAGCTCTCCTAACGCCCCCAGTCCTCCTTTGCTCTGGAGCCCTATGGGTGGCTTCAGTGGACCTGAGGCCTCCCCTGGCACAGCACCACCAGGGCGCCAGCCGCTCCCCCATGCCCTCAGGAGGGGTGGGATGCCCCTTCCTAAAGCATCCATCCCCATCCCTGGCCCTCCCGTCGTTCCCCGGCCCGCCGGCCGGACGTCTCGGCTTTCCTCCCACACCTACTGTCCTAGAGCTGTGAACAGGTGGGTGGGGCTGGGGAACCCATCACCACTCAATCTGACAAATGGCTCTCGAGCACTGAGGTGCCGGCACTGGGCTGGGCCCTGGAGGGCTGCATGGCAAGGAACTGGGGGAGGCACAAGGGACAGAGATGATGGAGGAAGAGGCATTGCAGGGTTCAGCCAGGCAGACGGAGCTCGGAGGGACTTCAGGCCTAGGCTACTACAGGGGTGGCGGAGCTGCCAACAGCACGGCGGGGCTGGGAGGATGCAGAGGGGAGTGACCCCGTTCAGTCTCGAACAGATGCCCAGCAGGGAGCTGGACACAGGTGTGTCACAAGCACAGTGCAAAGCAGGCAGGACAGAATTCTGGAGAGTGCTGACATTTAGGGAATGGAGGAGGAGGAGTGAGGACACAGGTAGGACCTCTGAGTAGCCGAGCCGCCTGTCCCCCACACTGATGCGGGCCGTGGGGCCCCCTGAGGAGCTGCACCGACCTCCAGCTGGACCTGCAGGCCCACTGTGTGCACTTTAACCCTGCATGCCCCAGCCCTGTGTCCCAGGTGCCCGAAGCGCCCCCAGCCTTCCTCCTTCACCTTCATCCCCATCCAATCCAGTGGCCTCCAGGCCTTCTCTCCCCAGGTGCTGCCCTCCAAACCCTCTTACTGACAGCAACTGCCCATTCTCTGCCTCCCAACAAACACGGATCAGGACAGAAAGACACCCCAGACAGCACTAAGTATCTCCAGCCCTCCCTCCCCAAGTAGAAACCAATCCTGCTGCCACTCCCCCAGACTGCAGGGATGCACGCTGCCTCCCCCGACACACCCTTCCAGAGCTGTCCCCCCACCATGCACCGCAGCCACACCATCAGTCTAGCTGCCTCCTCGCCTCCCTGCTCATCACCTCTGCCCACCACCCATACCCTCTTCTTCTCTGCTCCATCCCTAGGGCAGCCTCAATAATTTCAACAGCCGTGATAAGAGCTTCACCTTGGCCTCAGGGTTCTTCAAGCCCTAACTAACTGAGCTAGCCACTTGGCTCCCCCTTCTGTGCACCCTGCCACCAGAAGGCACTCTCCTCCAGATTTAATGTGATTCTTATCAAATTACCCATGACTTCTTTTCCACAGAATTAGAACAAGCAATCCTAAAATTTATATGAAACCATAAAAGACCCAGAATTGCCAAAGCAATTCTGAGGAAAAAGAACAAAGCAGAAGGCATAAGACTCCCAGACTTCAGACAATACTACAAAGCTACAGTAATCAAAACAGCATGGTACTGGCACAAAAACAGACATATGGATCAATGGAACAGAATAGAGAGCCCAGAAATAAACTCACACACCTATGGTCAATTAGTCTTCGACAAGGGTGGCAAGAATATACAATGGAAAAAAAACCAGTCTCTTCAACAAGTAGTGTTGGGATAGTTGGACAGCCGGATGTAAATCAATGAAGTTAGAACACACCCTCACACCATACACAAAAATAAACTCAAAATGGCGTAAAGAATTATAAGACATGACACCATACAATTCTTAGAAGAGTACACAGGCAAAACATTCTCTGACATAATCATACCAATGTTTTCTTAGGTCAGTCTCCCAAGGCAATAGAAATAAAAGCAAAAACAAACAAATGGGACCTAATCAAACTTACAAGCTTTTGTACAGCAAAGGAAACCATAAACAAAATGAAAAGAGAACCTATGGACTGGGAGAAAATATTTGCAAGCAATGCAACCAACAAGGGTTTAATTTCCAAAATACAGAAACAGCTCATACAACTCAATAACAGAAAAACAAACAACCCAATCAAAAAATGGGCACAAGACCCAGACAGACATTTCTCCAAAGAAGACATACAGATGGCCAACAGGCACATGGAAAGATGCTCAACGTAGCTAATTATTAGATAAATGCAAATAAAAATAACAATAAGGTATCACCTCATACCGGTCAGAATGGCCATCATTAAAAAATCTACAAATAACAAATGCTAGAGAGGGTATGGAGAAAAGGGAACCCTCCCACACAGCTGGTGGGAATGTAAGTAGGTGCAGCCACTATGGAAAACAGTATGGAGGTTCCTCAAAAAACTAAAAATAGAGTTGCCATATGATCCAGCAATCCCACTCCTGGGTGTACATCCAGACAAAACTATAGTTCAAAAAGATACATGCACCTCTATGTTCACAGCAGTACTAGTCACAACAGCCAAGACATGGAAACAACCTAAGTGTCCATCAACAGATGAATGGATAAAGATGTGGTACATATATACAATGGACTACTACTTAGCCATAAAAAAGAATGAACTAATGCCATTTGCAGAAACATGGGTGGACATAGAGATGATCATACTAAGTGAAGTCAGAAAGAGAAAGACAAATACCATATGATATCACTTACGTGTGGAATCTAAAATATGACACAAACGAATTTCTCTATGAAACAGAAATAGACTCACAGACATAGAGAACAGACTTCTTGTTGCCAAGGGGGAGGAGGAGATGGGGAGAGATGGACTGGGCGTTTGGGATTAGCAAACGCAAACTATTATACATAGGATGGATAAAACAACAAGGTCCTACAGTATAGCACAGGGAACTATATTCAACTACTGTATAGCACAGGGAACTATTCAATACCCTGTGATAGATCATAATGGAAAAGAATATGAAAAAGAATGTATATATATATGTATAACTGAATCATTTTGCTATGCAGCATTAATTAACACATCACTGTTTATCAACTATACTTAATAAAATTAAAAAAAAAAAGGCACTCTCCTCCAGGGACAGGGAGCTGAGATAGATCCCCTCTGACCACATACCCATGGAAGCTGCCAGTCGGCCCCTTGGGAGTCTCTGGGGCCCACCTCTCCTTATTTTCTAGATTGTCAGTCTTTCCTGGCTCCCCTGGTTCCCCCCCACAGTCTGAACTGCCCCCCAGCACCTCACCACATGCCTGGAACGTGACAGTGTTGAAAGCCGTAGAGAATGAAGACCCAGAAATGCTGCAGGAGGTGCCTGAGACCTTTGAGAGGTGAGTGATGGAGCCTAAGAGGCCAGACACTTGGCCCTGGGGACACAAGAGCAGGGGGAGCAGAGGCAGGGCAGGCAGATACACCAGCAGCAAAGAGAGGGCAGAGGGAAGCGTATTTACAGAGAGGGAAGCGAAGCCACATGTCAAGGGAAAGGGATGCGTGTGCCAGACTGAAGAGAAAGGGAACAGGATGAATGGCAGGGTGGCACTTTGAGGAATGATAATCATGATAATGGCTAATATTTAGTGAGTACTATGTGCCAGGCCGTTTTAAGTTCTCATGTAACGTTTGTAACAAACCCATGAGGTAAGAACTATTATCTCCATTTTATAGATAAGTGTGAAAGGAAGATATAAAACATTTGCCCAAGGTCAGAGGAGCCAGGCAGAAGAGTTTGCCAAGAAGAGGGAAATCCTGGGACGCATCTGAGCCTGAAGGAGGGACAGAAGTAAGAAGGTGCAGTGGCTCTGAGGTGGGAGCAAGGGATATTTTAAAAGCTCATTTTTGGTCAACTCTAAATCTTGGGAAGGTAAGAGGTGAAGTCATCTCAGAAGACAGAGGAGCTGGGGTGCAAGAAGGGCCTGAGAAAGAGAAATCGTCTATGAGGGCCCCTCGGAAATGCAATAAGGAATCAATAAAAGATGAATGAAAGAATTTGCTGGAGTAGCGAGGGCGTGAGGAAGCTCTGGATTGATAACCAGGGTATGCCTTATTCACCTTTATGTCTTGAGAGCCTAGCATGGGCATTTGATTCCCAGCACACCCGTTGAGAACTGCTAAGTTTCAAATGAATGGATTAAAGAATGAATGAACAAAAGAATAAGGGACTGTAAGATCAGATAGCAGAAATTCAAAAGAGGAGAATGTTGATGAAGGTGGTGGAACAAAAGTTCAGAAAGGCAGTTGGGAGGCAGTGCGCCCTGGACCCTGTGAGCTGGGGCCATGCGGGTCTTCACCCGGGGAAGCCAGGTCTCCTCCAGGGTGAGGACAGAGAAGGCAAGGGAGAAAAGGTGGTCCCATGAGCTCTAGAATCCACACCTGTGATGAGATGCGGGTGTGACAAAGGTGAGCCATGAAGAGCCGCAGATGGTAACCTGACCCAGTGGTGCCCACAGCCCTGTGGACAGTGTCCTTCCCAGCACTGGCTCTGGAAGAGCCCCTAGCTTCCAAGTAGCGGGGCTTGTACATCACTGCTAGGGAGCAGCTCAGATCTGGTGTGAGCCCTGGGACCAACCAGGAGACTGCAGGGCCTGCAGCCAGCAGGCTGGGTTGGTCACAACCCACGTGCAGGGGGCCCCAGCTCAGCTCCACAATCCTGCCCTTTCCCAGAAGTCGGGCTGAGGGAGGGACTTTCATCAGGGTGAAGACAAAGCCAGAGAGAGTCACCTTCAGAATTGGCTCACTGCTCCCAACAGCCCCGTGGCACTAGGGGACACAGGAGAGAAGTGCCCAGGACACATGCCGGGTGTTTTCCGGGGCAGTCAGCAGAGCGTAGGCGTGTGCAGTAAGGGTGATGGGGAGGACCACGGGTGGAATTTAACCTTGTGCCCGAATTAAGCTCAACACCAGTCCAGCCCGGTGTCCTTCACCCTGGTGTGGCTGAGCCGGGCACAAAGGCAACCGAGCTCCAGGAAAATGTACTTCCCAACCCCAGAAGCAGTCTGTGAGCTGTCCCACTTCATCTCAGCTGACCTCTGCCTGCCCCTGCTCGCTGTCCCACACACTGTGGCATGGGTCTCGGTCAAGGGTAAAACAAGTGATCGGCATGTTGACACAAACACTGGGGATCTCCTCTCACCTGTCAGGCACACGGCAAGGCACCGTGGGGGGACAGCGACGGGCCAGACACAGGCCCTGCCCCACGGGAGCCTATCACGGGCAACTGCACTTCTCAGATGTCACCATGCCAGGGACTCACCTGGGATCTTGTTAAAATGCAGATTCTCATTCAGATGCTGCATTTCTGACAAGCTCCCAGGTAATGCTGATGCTGCTGGCCCGAGGATCATACTCAGAGGGGAAAAAAGAGGTATTTTTAATAATCTTATAAAGAAATGAAAACCACATGAGTAGCAGTGATATTTTATCATGAAAATGGCCATGAAATAGGTGGCTCGGCCACTTGCAAATTTTTATGCTAATATCTGCTGAGCCTTCTCACGTTGCACAGTCCTGGGGCGCTGCTGGGGAGATGCTTCCTGGAAGCAGGGCGCTTATGGTGCCAGGAGGGAGGGCCCAGGTCTGCCGCCTTCCATCCCCAGGGATTAGCAGTCAGTCTGGGGTGGAGGGGGAGGCAGGTATGTATTAGCTGTCCACTGACTTGAAAAAAAGTGCCGGTGTGTGACAGGGTTAAGAGGTTCTGAGGCAGACAGTCCGCGTTCAAATCCTGGTGCTTTGCTCACTACCCTGCACAAGGTGCTAAAGTGCTTTGTGCTTCAGTCTTCCCATATGGAAACAGGGTTGTTGTGAGGATTTTATGAGATAACGCAGGTAAAACAATCCCATCAGATGAGATGATGGAAGCCAAAGACACACGTCACCTTCAGTGGGAAGCAGTGTGGATTCTCTGTGGCTCTGTTCCCACCCCTGCCCCATTGAGATGACCCCTGGGGTCTCTCCTCCAGTTTCCCCAGCACCAGAGGCCTCTGTCCTCATCAACTCCTTCTCACCCATATCCCTAAGTCTTCAGTAAATGTTCAAAGCCTGGTACAGACCAAGCGCCGCACCTGAAATAATGAGGAGGAGGAAGAGGAGTTGCCATCACTCGGGCAGCCCTTACTCAGCTTTACATACATTCTCTCAATCCCTCACGACAACATCTATGGTCAGTAAGGATGAGGAAGTGAAGGCTCAGAGAGGTTAAGCAATGTGCTTATGGTCACACAGCCCTCTTGCGAGGCTAGGCCCGGAGGTGAGGCTGCAGGGCAGGAGGAAGTGCCCTCCCTGCTCAGCGTTGCGCTCCCAGAGGGGCCCATGAAGTTGTGGAGCCTACAGGGTGGGCTCTCAATCTCCTGTGCTCTCACCAAGTTCAGAGCTGGAGTGAGAAAGAACTCAGAGAATGGATTCTCAGGGGAGGTCTGGTTGGTAGAGCAGAAGACAGGATAGGGGATTCCACACACCAAGACTGGGGGTGGGGTCTGAATTTCGTCAGACCAGTTCCAACCGTGGAGCAGGCTATGTAAGGGTAGAGGGATAGCAGAAGTAAGCCAGTGTGCTCCCTGCCCCAGGTGCACTTAGATAGAGGCAGGAAGCCTGGTTTCAGTTGTGGCTCTGGCCCTGGAACCAAAATCCCGTAGGTGAAAAAACCTATAGAGATCACCCAGGAACACAGAGAGTGGAAGCAACTTGCACAAGATCCCCCAGCTGAGACGTAACAGCTCACATGCCCGGGCACCACAAAGCTGCCTGAGGGCCCTCCCACACCAGCAAGACGGCAGCCTCAGCTTTTGTCTCATGCTTTTCCAGATTCTGACCAAGGAAAACCACACACTTTTTTAGGGTCATAGGACATCAGTTCTTTCCCTAAAATACTTATGTCAGCCCTTGCTGCCTGTTCTTCACTTGCCATCATCTAGTAAGTTTAATCACCCCAGGATGCTCTCTGCAAACCCCCCACCCCTGCACACAATCCCAGGACCCCAACAGCCTTCGGAACCCAACCGCAGGGACCCATCCCAGCGGCCTAGAGTGTGCAGGGCACTGAGGACACAAAGGTGAATCACACAGAGACCTCTGTCCCGCAGGAACCACTTAGGATGGGACAAGTAGTCACCACACTGGGGATGGCTCACCTTGGCTCTGGGCAGGGAAGTCTCTCTGGCAATGCCGGAGACGGGCATCCTGCCAGCCAAAGGAGCTCAGGGTAAGAAAGGGAGGCCACAGAGGCAGCCACTCCCAAATTCTCTCAAAACACTGAAACCCTCCAGAGTCCATGCTTCATCTGTGTGGCCGCAATGTCTTCATGTGGACAAAGGGCCATCCCCATGAAACTTAAATTATTCAAGCATTCTGAATCCTCCTGCATGAGGTCAAGTAGGCAAAGAAACTACTGTCACTTGGAAGTTCAGGTTGAGGACAAAAGGAGGCTCAGTGGGGTCCCTGCAGGATGGTTCAGAGAAGGGGTGTGTGCTCTGGAGAGAGAATATCTAGGTTTGCCCCCAAGGCTCCACCCCTTTCCAGCCTCTCTGCAAGGGACAGTGACTTGGGACCAGTGTCAGAGAGTCCCATCCCCAGCCCTGGCCCCGCAGTGAAGTCAGAGAGAAAGGGAGCAGGTGTTCACCTCCCTGTGCCCCTCGCATCCCAAGAGCCCTGCCCTGCCTGTGGGCTGTGGTGGGCACTTATGAGCCACCATCTGTGTATGGTGACAAGCTGATAGAGTCCAGGACAGATGAAGGGAGACCACCCCCATCCTGGGCTCATTCTGACCATTCCCCCAGCGGCTGGCCCGGTTTAGTTCATGCTCTTGGGCCCCTGAGAGCCTCGTCCTTTGCGGGTGGTGATGGCACAACCAATGTGCTCAGCACAGGAAAGAGGCCCTGGATGGCGGGGCTGGCCCGGAGGCAGCCATGCCTTCACCTCTGCCTTGTGTGCTGTGTGGGCCTCCTGCAACTCCGTGGTGGCCCAGATGCAGAAGGACTCTGGGGCTCTTTAAGCCTCTCCTCACGCAAGGGCAGCATGGGGGCCGTGTGCAGGGCGGGGTGGGGTGGCAGCATTAGAGGTCGTCTGTACAGAGCACACCTGAGCCACACAGGCCTGGCCTCCAGCCCACCCAAACACGCAGCTTGTTCCTGGCCTGCCAGCGTCCCCTCACGGCTGGCTGCCTTCTGTGGCCCGAAGCCCCGCGGCTTGGCCCTCCACTGCGCTGTCTTCTCTGTTTCCTTTCTTTTAAAGAAGGAAAGAAGAAGAAATTCCACAAAACAAGCTGTCCTCCTGACAGGCCAGCTCAGATCGCAGTTGAGCTAGGCTGAATCAAAGAGCAACGTTACCAGGGGGTTATCAGAACTGTCTGGCTCAGAAAATAAACAACTCCTCAAAGATGGCCTGGAATCTTGGCAGCTCCCTGTGCGTGGGTTGCTGGGACTGAGGCCCCTCCCGGTCTCTAAACATGCCAGGGGGTCCAGCAGAGACCGCAGACCTGCAGTTCCATTCAACAAGCACAGGGATTCAGAGCAGGGGCTGTGGAGTCAGGCCTGGGCTGCCGTCTCAGGGCTGCCCCTTCCCAGAGGCAGGGCCTGCAGCCAGTTACTTAACCCTCTTGAGTGTGGTCATCGGTAAACCTGAGAGGATGAGATCTCTTTGAGGCTTAAGTTGAAGTGCCAGGGGAGAGCCTGGCACATTTATTAATTGAAGAAATACTTACTGAAAACCTACTATGTGCTAGACACCATTCTAGGCCCTGGGATACAACCGTAAACAGGAAAGACAACTATGATTCCTACCCTCGTGGAGCTCAGTGTCTGGGAAGGATGCAGACCAGCCAACAGGCAATCACAATTCTGGGTGATAAGAGACAGGATGGCGCAGCAATGGGGAGTTTTAAGACCCCCAAAGAGAGGCTCCTCACCCAGTCTTGAGGGGTTCAAGGAAGCCTTCCTGGAGAAACTGGTATGTGAGCCCCGATGTGAAGACTCAGGCAGGTGAAGAGCAGAGGTGGGCCACAGTGCACCTGGCCTGGGGAACTGAGCACAGTCCAGCCTGGCTGGACTGAGATGGGCGGCGGGCAGGGGCCAGACTAGGAAGGGTCCTGTGAGGAAGGTCAGGGAGGCTGACCTTGATGCCGAGGATAACAAAGGGTTAAAGCAAGGCAGCCTGTGTATGACGAAGGTCACCGGCTGGGCGAGGGAGGGCCTGGAGAAGGCAGGGCTGGAAGCAGCCAGACAGCTGGGGGCTGCCGCAGTGACCCAGGGGAGCATGGCGGTGGTGTCAGGGCAGGAGGGAAGCGGAGCATTCAGGAGATGGTCAGCAGGCGCGGGACAGGACCTGAGGACTGACAGGTGGATAGAGGGACTGACGGAGGGTAGGAGCTCCGAGCCCGGGTTTCTGTCCTGAGCACTCTGGGCGTGGCATAAATGGCAACAGCTACATAACCATGATCACCGACTGGCGCAGGGACACGGGCCAGGTCATTGCCCTGTCTGGGCCTCGTTCTCCTGCCTGTACAGCAGGGAGACATGCCCAGCTCAGACCTGTGTGTCTCTGTGCCACCCCCAACAACCGCCTGAGTGCCGGCACATGCTCACTTCTCCCGCCTTTGTGCATTTCTCCAAACACAGGACCAGGCCGGGAGGACGCAGACAGGGACAGCTGTGAGACGCTGGCCGGCGTGGCCCATTAAATGCCGACTTCTTTGCAGACGACGTAGAGCAAACCTGCCTTTCCCCTGCTTCTTCTGGACCACAGTCACCCTCACCTCGTCCGGGGCTGGTGAGCGTCCCTTGCTTCCCTGCCACATGGGGCCGATTTCCTAGGGAGATGTTCTCCCCTTTAATCTGGAAGCGTGCCCCTTAGCTGCCTCCTTGGATCTGATCTGCTCAAGTCTCTTCTCTATGCCTCTAGATGGATCACCAGAATCTTGCCGAGCCTGGGGGGCTCTCTCTAAAGGCAGAGAAGGATGGGAACTACCCTGGCCCTCTGTCCCCACCCAGCTCTCTACTCAGGTGCCCACAGGAATGCCTGGGGCTCCTGGAGCTGGAAGAGCACTGTGGAGAGGAACTGCAGCCCCACAGCACTCAGGGCCTGGGACTTCTCAGCTCCCTCTGCGGTGGAGGGCCGGAGCCTAGCCTGAACCAGAACCGCCAACTGGATTTGAGTGCACATGAAGAGGGGAATTAAAAAAAGACAGATCAAAACTGGCCTTAAAATTAGACGCTCGTCCAAGCCACTACCTGCGGAGAGTAGAATCCTCTGCAACGACAGCAGGCTGCGGGACACCACTCCTGGAGCCGTTCTTCTGGAATTCTCTGGCTGTTCAGGGGGCAGCTCTTCCTCCCCCAGGGCTCCTGGCCACCCTCTCCCTGCCTTTCTCCCCAGGGCCGTTCAGGCTGCCCAGTTGCTGACTGAGGAAGAAGCGTCCTGACTAGAACCACAGCCCAAAGAATCTGGTGCTTATTTGCACCCCAGGGGGCCCTCATCCTGAAAATTCTGGTACTGCCAAGGGTCAGGGGGGTGCTGAGCTGCTCTGCTCTCCGCCCTGTGTGGAACCTGCAGGGCCGTTTTGCTGGGGAGGCCCCAAGTTCCCAACTAGTTTCCAGCCTGAGAAAAAGCAAGAAACCTGGGCTGCGGACACACCTTGGGAAGGAGGCAAAGAAGACAAGGAATGAACCCACACAGCAGAGCCGGGCCAGGCCCCACGGAGCCCAGCGCCAGCACCCTGCCCACAGCTGCACCGTACCATGGGTGGGCCTGCATCTTCAACACTCCCTTTCCCTGCCAGACCTCCTCCTTCCCCTCCCCAGAGCCGCCTGGCTTCTTGCCCAAGACCTAGACACCTGCCCACACGCACAGAGCCCACAGGGGCCCGACCAGGTCTCCTGCCGTTCATTCCGCCCAGACGCACGTGAGCAGGGCTGCTGACCCAGGATGCTCCCCCTCCTCGCTCAGAGCCGGACTCCTCATGGGATCTCAGGAAACTTCTACCAAACGAAGCCTTTCTAGCCTCTGCCCTCCTCCTCAGAGGCCATCCAGGTGCAGATGTCTCAAGGAGCCGGCTGCGAGTTGCCCGCTTCTCCCAGCAGCCCCAGTCTCCGGATGCAGATGCATGGGGCCACAAGGCCTGTGAAGGTGCCGATTCTTCCCTCTTCATGCCGTCTGCTCGTCCACATGGGCAGGAACCGTGAGGCTGCACGGTCAGGGGCCCCTCTCGCATGGGCTTGGCAGGTATTGCTGATGCCGTTCTGAGCAGACAGTGCTGCCTCTCCTCCGTGGCACTCCCGTGTGACTCGGCTCAAGTCTACCCCTAGGAAGGTTTTCTCAGCTAAGTCCGCTCTTCCTCTTCCCGGCTCAGGCTTCTCTTCCCTAAGAGCTGTGTGGTGAATGGCAGGGCTGTGCAAACCTTACTGTGCACGCAAAATGTCTGTCTGGAGATCCAGTTAAATGTAGCTGGGGTTCAGCAGGTGAGAGGAGTGGGATCCTGCATTTCTGACAAGCTCCCAGGTGATGCTGCTGTGGTCCACAGGCAACACTTTGGGAGTGAGAAAGTAGAGGAAAGAGACTTGGGATGTCTGCAATGTTCCTGCATTACGTGAGGTAATGCAGAGCCGAGAGCCCCTGAAGCCACGGGTGCCCACAAATGCAAGTTCTGTTCCTTTTGCTTCAGTTTTCTCCCTGTAATAGTAGGAACGAGAGACCTCGCGAGAGGTATTGCCAGAGAATTAAATGAAATAACATCTGAAGACCGTGGTGCACAGCAGGTGACAGATGATGAGAGTTCTCCCTCCTTTCCTTCTGCTGTTAGTCCTGTGTCTGGCACATAACCTGTGTCCCATATGATCAGGGAGGGGGCTGGGAGGGCCCGAAGGCCTGTCTCTTAGACGAAGGGTCTCCACACCCAGCTCTGAGTGCCTGTGCGCATGGTACTGGAGAAGTGGGTTGTTCAGGTCATGCTGAAGGGTGATTCCTCAAGTGATTTTGTTACTTGGATACATGTGCATGAGCAAGAACGCCTGCTAACACGTGGGAGGGGTCATACAGAGCAAGGACCTACAGATGGCAGCCAGCCTGGAGAGCCCTGGGTAAGGCCCCAAGCCCTGCTGCCTCTTGGTCGGGGCAGCGACCACTGGAGACTTGGTCTGATTCTCACTGCAGGTCAGCAGCTCAATAGAAGAAAGGTATGTGCTTTTAGAATCTGCATTAACCAGTCTGGCCAGGCAAAGGACCATTCATCAGAATCCCTCCTTTTTCCTGGCCTATAGGTACTCAAGCTGCTTCAGAGATCTTGCTTGTTTCCAGAAAAAGGCTAGGGGCTCAGGGAACCAAGCTCAATATGTGATATATAGCAGTGTTGCTTCTAAGGTTTAAGGCAAAGGCAAGAGGAGAAATTAGACTGATGGCCAATTCATCTTCAGTAAGCATTTACTGACAGCCAGTCTGCATCGTAGCCTCCCTTGCCCCCCCCCCCCACATATACTTAATCTTTTCTGATTAAAATCAAAAGTAAACCCCTTTGATCTTAATCAGAAAATGATGCTGTTTCAGCTCATACAACTCAATATCAAAAGAACAACCAACCCAATCGAAAATGGGCAGAAGACCTAAATAGACATTTCTCCAAAGAAGACATGCAAATAGCCAACAGGCACTTGAAAAGATACTCAACATTGCTAATTATTAGAGAAATGCAAATCAAAACCACACTGAAGCAGCACCTCACACCGGTCAGAATGGCCATCATCAAAAAGTCTACAAAGATTAAATGCTGGAGAGGATGTGGAGAAAAGGGAACCCTCCTGCACTGTTGGTGGGAATGTAATTTCGTACAACCACTATGGAGAATAGTATGGAGGTTCCTTAAAAAACTAAAAATAAAGCTACCATATAATCCTGCAATCCCACTCCTGGGTATATATGTGGAAAAGATGAAAAGTCTAATTTGAAGAGATATATGCACCCCAATGTTCATAACAGCATTATTTACAATAGCCAAGACATGGAAACAACCCAAATGCCCATCAACAGATGATTGGCTTAAGAAGATGTGGTACATATGCACAATGGAATGCCACTCAGCTATAAAAAGAATGAAATATTGCCATTTGCAGCAACATGGATGGACCTAGATAATATCATATTAAGTGAAGTCAGTCAGACAGAAAAAGACAAATATTGTAGATATCACATATATGTGGAAACTAAAAAATAATACCAATGAGTCTATATACAAAACAGAAAGAGACTCACAGACATAGAAAACAAACATGTTTACCAAAAGGGAAAGGGCGGGGAACAGGGATAAATTAGGAGTATGGGATTAACAGATACAAACTACTATGCATAAAATGGATAGGCAACAGGAATTTACTGTATAGCACAGGAGCTGTATTCAATATCTTATAATAACCTATAATGGAAAATAATCTGAAAAATACATAAATGAATCACTTTGCCGTATACCTGAAACTAACATGATATTGTAAATCAGCTATACTTTAATTCAAAAAGAATAATGCTGTTTCATCATACTTGTAGAGGGTACCTGCTGAGACTGGGGGATCCCTCTGGCATGGTACCAGCCCACAGCCAGTGCAGAGGGACACATGTGGCCAGAGAGGGAGCACTGAAAGTGACGGTGGTGCAAACACAGAGGTCAAGGGCTCTGAGTAGCAGAGATGACATGTGAGCCCCAGAAACCATGCTCTGTTCCCAGAGTGCATCCCTAATATACATACACACACGTGCACATGCACACACATACACACATGTATTTCCTCTGCCTTCGGGAAGCTGAGGTTCAACTTCCCAGCTAGTTCTGAGTTCTGCTTTCTTCAGAAAGAGGTACAAATTTGCCAGGAGGCCATTCCTCCTCCAGCCCCAGCCCTTCTCCATGCCCTGATAACATTTCACGCAGCTATTTAAGAAGCAGGGTTAAGGTTTCTTTTAACTGGCTATTAAAATCAGAGCACAGAGACAAGTTTTGTAAAGCTTGGTTTCCATAAAGGATAACTTTTCTTCTGTGGGTTTAAAAAAATGAGAATCTTGATGGAAACTGTAGGCAGCCACATAAACAGTAAAGCCCACTCAGTCTTCCAGATGCCGACAGAATGTGAGGATCTTTTCCCTGAGGTTAAAAGGAATGCAAATTCATATGATTTGTTTCCAAATTTTTAAGAAAGGTGAAAATGCTAGTAAGACTGCTGTGAACTCAGATGACACCTCCAAGTGCAGGCTGTACTGATTTTTACCTCGCCACACTCCTAAGAAGACCTTCCCTTGGCATCCAGCTTCTGAGGCTTCCTCTTTCTCTGTTCTTGTCTTCAAAAGAACAGGAAATGCCAGCAGGTTTGTTTTTCTCTGCCCCCGGGGTGCTCCCATCCCTTTTATCAGAACAGTGGAAACTTCAAGTTAGAGGCAGCCCCTGGGACTAGTTTCAGAGCTGAGCTGGTTTTGTTGTAAAAATACATACATACATATGCTCACATGCATGCGCGCACACACACACACACACGCGCGCGCACACACACACATATACTGGTAGCTGACATTTACTAAATGCTTATTACATGCCAGCCACTTTAAAAACAACTTACATGAATTATTTCATCCTCACGACTTTGTGACGTAGGTTACAATGGCAATGATAATGGCAAACACTCATAAAGCAGCACGTGTCAGCACACGTAAGCACGTTCTAAGTGTTTCACACACTTGACGCATTTACTCTTCACAAGCTTGTAAGGTAGGCGCTATTATTATCCTCACTTTATAGGTGAGGAACCTGAGGCTTACAGAGGTTAAGAAATTTAGCTGAAGCCACTCACCTAATAAGTGGTGAAGCCTGGGTTCAAATACAGGCAGCCAGGCCCCAGCGCCCCTCTGACAATTCCATCCTCACCACCCCTCAGTGGACAGGAGCGCCCTGGGGTCATTCCGTCTAGACAGGCACAGCCCTGAGCATCTACTCTGTGCAGTCCTGCTGCTCCCTCCAGGGGCTCCTTGTTCAGCAAGGGAGTGTGGGTGCATTAAAGACCTTTACACAGAGCAGTCAGCTGGGCTGAAAGACCTCTTCAAACCAAATGTTCCAGACAGAGAAAGATCAGATTAGTGGAGGGAAATCAAGAAAGTCCCATGGAAAAAGAGATAAGCAACAAAGATATACTGTATATCCTTGTTTTGTTTTTTAATTCATATATATATTTTAAAATCAAACACAATTAAATAGAATATGGCTTAAGTACATGAATACTTCGCTTTAGAATAACAGAGGTGGCACATAGTACCAAAAACTCACACACAGCCTTCCCACTTCTGTTGATGAAACAGTGTGCATCTATACAATCAAATATTGCAGTGGAGTAAATTCTCTATTCATTCAAGACTTTCTCAAAGACAGGTGATTAATAATTATACATTCATATGTACATATATACACAGAGAATTATAGCCACTATCTTCTAATAACCTATAATGGAGTATAATCAGCAAAAATACTAAATCACTATGTTGTACACCTGAAACTAAATAATATAATCTTGTAAATCAACTATAATTAATTTAAAAACAAAGAAAGAAAGGCCCATGGAGAGTACAGTGAATGAGGAAGGACTGACAGAGGCCCGGTGTTGGGGGTGGAGGAGTGAGTGCTCCAGGGGCCTGGAGGCGACAGAGTGGCGGAGGAGACAAATACTGTGAGTCCACACGTATGAACCACCTAGAACAGGTCAATTCACAGGCACAGAAAGGAGACTAGAGGGTACTAGAGGCGGAGGGCGGGGGGATACGGAGCTATTGCTTAACAGGTACAGAGCTTCTGTCTGGGGGTTATGAAAATATTTCGGAAATAGTGGTGATGGTTGCACAACGCTGTGAATGGAATTAATGCCAATGACGGAACACTTAAAAACAGTTAAAATGGCAAATTTTATGTTATATATATTTTCACACACACACACACACACACACACACACACACACACACACACACGAGCTGAGGAGAAGCAGCCAGTGGGCCCAGACTGTCAAGGTCCCGGGAACCACCCGGTCACTGCGCTGCCCCGCTGCTGAGCCCAGGTGCCAGGGCTGTCATTCCTTCCCTTCGGGATCTGAGAGCTGGAGCCCTGGTGCCCGGCGATAGAATCCGACGGCCTGACAGCCTTGCTCTTTGCCTGCGTCCCTAAGGCCAGCTGCTCACTGGACCCCACCCGGGGCCTCTCTGCCCTCAGGCTGCCAGTCTCCAAGCCGCCTCAGGGCCCTCGGGGGCCCGCAGAGCTGTGGCTTTCCTTTTCTCACCGCTTCAAGTTCTGCAATCACAATCTGTTTTCCAAAGCCGTGGCAGCGGCAGACTGTAATTAACGTGGAACGTTCTGAGGGAGCGGAGGACATGTGGGTCGGAGGTCAGGCTCTCCAACAACAACGCTTTCTGCTGCAAGAGGACTGTTTTCTCCTCTCCTTCTCCCTTCCCGGGATGTCAAAACAATAAACCTCTGGGAGACAAAGAAATAAACCTGTCCTGCTTCACACGTACAAAGCAGGCCCTGGTGCAGGTGCGGGGACCCGCATACGGGGCAACAGTTGGACAGACGGTGCTCTGCCTCGCTCACCACCTGGGCCTCCTGACCGCAGAGACACACCTACAAACATACACCATCGAAGCTCCCATCAACCCAGCAGGGCCATATGGGGCCTGCACTGTCAGTCTGCATGCAGTCAAGTCACTAGAAGGAAAGTCCACTTTTTAAAAAAATAATAAACTGGTTCATAAGCCCCTTT